TTAGTTTCGAAACTATCTGGAGTTACTATGCCCAGATACTTTTGAAACTTAAAACAAATATCACTATGCGATTCAGCATGGGATGATATCCCTATATAGCACCATTTCATCGGGGTGTAAGGTCATTTGATCTAATTAAGGGCTCTTGGGAAAATGCTTATAACTCCAGAAGAAAACAAGATGGCCAGCTCGAGCTTGTGTAGATCCGAAGAGAACAAATTTCTCTATCGGTCGGTATGATTGCAAGTGCAAATCGAATGAATATTAGTATCACGAGGCAGCTTACAAAATGTCCGGCAAAAATTTTTCTAGTTGGTCAATTCATTGACCATTCAAAATCATACCTGTTATGTAGTCTCCAGCTTGCTCTTTGAAATAGTGAAAACTGCCGGTCTCTATCTTGTTCCTATCAAGAGTTGTTTAAAAAAAATGCTCATTGGTATTTAAAAAAAATTCGATATTAGTTTCTCCATTGTTGATCGTAAGGCCTATAAAGTCATAGTTTTATTACAATTTATCAAGAAGGATTCGGATATGACATCAATCTGGCGAGTAATCTAAGTTTTAAGTAAAACTTTCTTCTCCATTCGATATTGAACGCGTCCAATTTCAGATTCGACATCCACCTAAATGAAGTCGAGATCAGACGTAATCTCACGAGGGAAGGTCACCAACTGTTCAATCGTTTTTGAGTCGGAACTATGTGCATCATGCAGGTCCTAATGAACTATGAATAACCTGACGAGAGTTCGGGCCGCTAGTGTATTATTGTCGAGATACTGCATTTTTACGATCTTTTTAAGCACGATCCCGTGATCCCTCTCAGGAGCACCAGAAAAACTGAGCTTTGAATTTCGACTTGAAACTTGGTAGAGAAACAGGCCTCAGTGAGAGTACTTTCTGGTGAAAGTTTCAGATCGTTTTGTTGTTCCTGTTCTGAAATAAGAATATCGGAATCTGTCCATGTATACGAGCGATGTGAAGAACATGCTGTTCAGTTGTACCTTAGAATAGGAACAATCAAAAGATCTTAAACCTTTACAATAAACTACTCTCATTGAAGCCTGTTTCTGTGCAAAATTTCAAGTCGAAATTCGAAATTCAGCTTTTCTGGTTCCTGAGAACCACGACCAGGCCCCGCGCGAGCGGGGGGTTTAAGGGGGTGTACACTCCCCAAAAACCAAAACATTTCAGTTTTTTCTGTCCACAAATGCAGATTTTGTCTACATTTTATAATTTTTCTGCAAGATTTTTCTGAAAATTCTTCCTTACACCCCCCAATCCGCCGTACACCCCCCTAATATTTGATTCTTCGCGCGGACCCTGACCACGACATTATGCTTAATTAACAATACGTAAAAATGCAGTATCTGGACAGCAATAAGCTAGCGGCCCGAACTCTTTGCAGGTTATTCATAGCTCATTAGGGTCTACAAGATGCATATAGTTCCGACTCAAAAGCGATTGAACAGTTAGTGGCCTTTCCTCGTCAGTTTGAATCGTGATATATATACCGGGTGGCCCAAAAGTAAGGAAACAAGAAGGATATGCTATAATAACGGGTACTAGATTGTTAATCATACTTTTTGTATTTTTTGTTGATGTCGGAAGCTGAAACTTTCAGAAATAAAAGATCTTAACTAGATATATATGTGATAAAAATTTCAGCTATCTATAACAATAAAAAGGATGAAAAATATCATTAACAATCTATTATCCGTCATTATAGAATACCCTTTTTGTTTCCTTACTTTTGGGCCACCCTGTATTTGCAAAAAAGAAATTCCTATCGAAATAACACATCAATCAGAGATAATCACTTTGTATAAATACTCGCAAAACTAAATGAACTTAGTTTCGAAGATTTCTATACTAATTGATTAATCAGACAAAAAAATCATTTTCGATAGTTTTAAAAGAAAATGAGAACTTACCACAACCACGGCCAAAACTAGTTCCAAAATCAAGTCTTGTAACATATCGAAAACGAATATCAGTCAGTTTGCAATGTTCGACATCTAATGATGATTGTAAAAACGCAGAATATTCTGACTGACCAAAATATTTGCGTTGCCCTACAGCAAAAAACTTTCCTACGTAGTTAAATTTGCGAAAGTTTCCTAAACAATCCTTAAGATCAAATACATGAATCGTGTCTTCTTGATTGCGGACAATTTGTCGGCAACAGTAACATCATCAAGGTAAGGTTTCATCCGACTATTCGACTGTTTTTGGTGCAATCACTAGTCTGCAAAGCAGAATCGAAGGAGAACAGGAAGAGACAAAAATATTCCTATGATAGAATTTATTAAAAAAGATAAATATATCTGCATCATAAAAACAAGTGAAAAGAGTTACAGTGAGATGATCAGTGCAGATCGACTGATTTCAGAGAGGATGTTCTCTTGTTATAGCTAGCCTAATGATGGACCTCATATGTCATCTAAACGATTTTATTCATGTACTTGTAAAATATCTATTTAAAATTATAGATATTATTTTAGATGAACGAAATATGTAATAGATTTTCTATATTCTGCTTACATGCATTGAACGAACATTATTTCCTCGATCATTTTCGAATCTCTTTGACCTAATTTGGGTTTAATTCTTATTGTGAAACATATCCAGATCTCTGGATTTCAATAATGCAATTTCAAGAATCGAAAGAATCAACCATTGTTCTAATTGAACAAGAATAAGCTCAACAATGTAGAACATGTCTTAAAAGATTTAAATCAATGACAAATGATAACATCTTAATTAAAGTATCCACGGAAAAATCATTGACTTCAACCGATTCTATTAAATCACGGGAGTTAGACCATTGATTTCGTTTTTAATACGGAATCAAACTGCGATTTCAAATAATCAAATAAATGATCTGACTCTCACCGTTCAATAGAACTACTTCAGAGCAAGGTTTTATAAAATCGTGGTTATTTTTCATAGGTGATCTGATCAGCAGAGCCGGCTCAAGATGACCAGATCCATATGAACTTTGCAGAAAGTTCAGGTAGAATATCCTTCGAGGGTTTTTGTAATGAATTTTGTAAAAGTTCAATAGTTCTCTTAAGTCATCTTTTAGTGAGAGAGAGAGAGAGAGAGAGAGAGAGAGTCATTAAGCCAATTTTTTAAACTACCTTCGAAATAGTAGGAAACAACATTCTTTTCATCGCTATACATTCCGTTTTTTTCTTAGATACTCCATTTACAAATAAGTTACCCGTGGTATATGGAACTCTTACTAATCGCAATACTTCCTAGAACGACTACAACTGGACTCACTGCAGTTTGTGAGAAACTGCCGAAACAGCGTACCATTTGTAAGGATGTGGATAGATATGAATGCAGACTTACCGATCAGGAACAGGATGACAGGAATTTATCTACCTAAACGCGAAAAGTATTCGGCTTGCTGTCAAAATTTTAAATGCCTACTGCAAAAATTTTTTTATAGTCGTGTCGCAAATTCTAACAGAAATCGCGTTTCTCGTCTTTTTTTCTGGCAAAGAGCCAAATAAAAATGCCTTTTATCAAGAAAATCTTGTGAACACGCTATAGTTTTGGCTTTTTCTCTTTAGTGTCTATCAGCCCATTTGAAAAAAAGTGATTATAGAAATCGATTCTAACGTCATTTTTTCTCATATTTTTATACATGGAAGGAAATTATATGAAGAAACTTTCTGCAAAACTTTTTACTGTTTCCACTCTTAAAAACAATTAGGAAGTCTGTGTGGATATGGATGTGGAGGAGGTTGGTTGTGGATGGAGTGCGGCACGATTATAGTAACTACACCGACACTCCCACTCGCGCTTACCAACACCATACTCGCAGATGAACACCCATTTTACGCTAAGTTTTTAGTGATGAACTTTCTCATCCTGAATATTCATTCACTCCGACTTCTTTCATTTGCAATGTTTCTTTTTTTTGTTTTTGTACATAATAAATTCGTGTCTCCGTGCTATACTGTGAATATTTTTCAATCTACGCTCATTTTTGTCTCTTCTGCTCTCTGGACATTCTTTCTGAATTGTTAGGGAAAATGTTCTCAATAAATATGTATAGCTAAATAAATCTGATCAAGAGAGATATTGTTCGAGATGATAAATTACAAGTAGAAAAATTCCTTTCTTTATATCAAAATATTTACCAATATTAAATTGAATACATCGGATATGAGGATATATTTTATCAAATTGATTGAGAATTAAATAAATTGATGGATATAAATCAAGTTTGATATATTTGATATAATCCCAATCGAAAATCATTGGATAATCTATACTGCAAAAAGGCGAAGATTTATTTATCATGAAGAAAATAAATATCTTACATAATACCATGAAAGAATTTTGATTTAATTATTCCAGTTGATGATATATGTTGACATGAGAAAATAGGATCAAAAAAACATTTAATATTTGTCCAATGATGATCAGAGAAAAAATTATCAGTTTCAAAAGAATCAATTATTTTTTGAATATCATTTGGAAATAATAATCGACATTTTAATATAATATAAAAATCAAAATCTATTAAATTAATTAATATATCAGGCATACAATATTTACGAAGAGATTTTGCATTAATAACCTCATTGACGTTCATTAGATTTTTTATATATAAATCAACTTTTAATTTATCAATATAATTTATATTATTAAGAATCCATTTTAAATAAACTAACTGTAAATAATCATCAATAGCACTTTCTAAAGCAAAACATTTTAATTTTGACATCTAGAATAGATCATTTTTTTTAATAAGATTATTTTATAAATCAAATATTCTTATTCTCATAGAAATCGTTCAAAATCTTGAACCAATCATGCACCATTGAGAAAAAAAATTCAAAATCACAGAGATCTTGTAAAAATCCGAAAAACAACAAGAATTAATATTCAACTACAAAGTAATCACTTTATTTATTCATTAATATTAATTAGATGCCAAAAAATTGTTTTACTCACAAAGAACATGCTCTATCGACAAACAAACGGATTTTTCTATGTATTTTTAGGTTCATCTTTCCTTTTCAAGAAACTCTTTCAAACTAATTTAATTATTGATTATAAAACATGATCTAGAAGAAGTGTTGAAGTTTAAAGGTAGAAATTTGAAAACCATTTCTTTCTCGAACTACAGACGTGGTAGACATCCTTGACAATGGAATATTACACATATCTTACCAATGACTTATCACCGACGTGACAAATATCCGAACGAGAGAGGATGTGTACTTTCGTACTTCTTATGCCAGTCTTATTTCTTTTATAAAAAAATTCGCTGAACTTCTAAATACATTTATGAACTTTAATATAATTCATCAAATTCTCATCTACTTCTCTACTTCGAAAGTACAAAACTACGCTTTCTCCTCGTTACAAATACCTAAGCAACATGTCTCTCATCACGGCCTATAACGAATAATACACTCTTTTATTATTTCTAATGTAAACAAACAGCTTCATCGTAGTTTATATTGTAATCTCTCAGAGATTGTGTCAAGTTTTTATTTTCACCAGTGTTATACAATCAGATAACACTCCTATTTATTCTGTAAACTATTACGAATAGTTTAGTATGATAACAAGTATAATATTCTTTTCATCGATTAAATTCTCCTTCGATACTTCAAATTAATAATCATTATGGTTACATTAAGCATCTGTCACCATTTCCTTCGATTAATCTATTCTGGTTAACATATTGATAAAGAATGTCCTTATGTTAAAACAATGATAAAGAGTTTATGACACCAGATATAATTCGAAAAAAGTCTAGTTTTACTTTTAGAAAACATTCATTATACTCTTTTTTTTTGTTTTTACCTTATTATACCAATTAACATTTGTCGGTACAAATGTTTCGATCTTCGAACCAAATGACCATTCCCTGACTAAGCAGTTTCGGAATTGAACTGAGAGAATTTCAAGATTGGGTACATGTTCAATAATATGTTCAAATAAAAAACCATAAATTAAATGAATGTGTAAATAACGAAGACTCATACAATGCATAACAGGTTCATTGTTAATTAATGAAAAACAGTGATGAATATGAGCATAAAAATCATCGATTGATAAATCAAGTTTAAGAGAAGTTAATTGACATTTATCAGAAAAGAATCTACGTACAAATTCTTGAAACATGAACATTAATTTGGATTCTATTAAATAAATATTTAAAAATAATATCTCAACTTGTTATTAAGATAGAAATATGTTCTCCTCACTGAATCTACTGTGTTCAAGACATCTTATTGTTAGTGTATCACAGCATTCTTTGGATATTGAAATAGCTGAGAAGACTTTTCAAAAAACTTTTTCCACAGAATGCTCTGGAGACTCATCATTATATGAATCTTGCCATGGATTCAAATTTGAGGTTCATATAATGTGTGGAGTTGAGAAATTATAGAGATTCGAAGAATTATAACAAAAATTTCTATTAGACATCTACCACTATAGTTCTACTGGATGCCCTTATTATGAGAGTATATGAAATGAGATACATTTTAATAATCATGATAAGAATACAAAGTAAATTTTCGACTACATTATTGTAAAGGTGTCTCATTTTTTTTAAAGAAATAAATAAATCAGATTTTATAAGTGTTACCATATTCAAAATCGCACTATTCCATACCGATCCTTAATGTTAAGTGTGATAACTTCTCGCATAATTCGCATCATATACAATTCAATTTTTCGAGAAGTGACGTTTTTTTCGTCACAGATTTGCTCATACTACTGTTAGGCTAATAAAGACTTTCACAGTACTATATTTTTCAACATTATATAAACTCATAAGAGAAAGAAAACTAATAGATTGATATTATTCCATGTTTAATTACTATCCAACAGATTTTATATAGCTATGTTTTATTAATACATATGTATACACATATTTCACATTTAAAAAAAAGATATAACCCGATGAAATTCGGACACATAGGATGAGCTGCTACATCTGAATAATGTGAGAAACAATGAACTAATCTATCCATTTTTTTTTTTACTTTTTTTATTTTTCTACTCGCTTTGATTAGAGTAGGCTTCTATTACATGGAGACAAGTATGAAATCGAGAGTGAGTTTCTATATTCTGTAGAAAGGAGATATAGTCAGATAACTTTGATTGGCATCCTTGACCAAGATTCTGTAACATCCTGATAGCAAAATACTCAAAAGGGTCCTCTGGTCAGAGGTGCAGAATCTTCCAAAAAAATCAAAAATTTCCCCCCCCCCCCGCGGAAATTTTCTCCAAAAAATTTCCCCAAAGCTGTTTTTTCTTAGGCACTTACAGGCCAACTTTATTTGACACAAAATATAAGTAAAAAGAAAACATGGCAACATTTTGTTCTCTTTGTTACTGTTCGCACAACATAGGAATTCTTTCTACTTATTCTTTTCTCAAGCGGTTCAAAACAACTGAACTAGGTGAAACTAATTTGAATAGACGATGTTGTTTTGTTTTTTTGCAGAAAATCCAGTGTTTATCCTTCAGTTGAGAGAAGTAGTTGTTGAGACATGACTTGATGAATGGATCTGCTAGATGAAGCGGTGGTGGATCCCAATGTAACATCACTTCTTTGTCTAAGGATTCGTGATCCAGAGCTCGATTGCCACGAATATGTTGCTTCGGGATTGAGGCAGCACTCTCGCAGACAGCTTCGCTTCGGATTTTGACAACCATCAGAGAATAGAAATGTAGAAACTGTTCAATACCATTCGCTAGATCTTTGTTCGTGCAGAAAGTTTTCATCACTTTTGTCGTTGAAATTTGATCACTCTAGACGAACTTCTTTTGGTCTGCACAGGAGATACTTGAGAATCTTGATCAAGAAAGTCATGCGCTATGGACAAAACTTGAGGTCTGCGCAGGTCAAGTGCATGAAAAAAAAGTTCGCCTAGAGGCATCTTTTGTTCAAACGTTCCAATTTTCCGTGACTTTCAATTCTCTCAAACATCGTTTCTTCCACTCCAGGTATTGATTATTGAGTAAAATATTGTCGATCTTGATATGTTTTGAACTGTTCTTTAGAGCATACAAGTAAAGCAAAAAACTCAAAAAAATCAATTATATCCTGTAACAGTTAATTATGACGAGAACAAGATTTTTCCCTTCTAGTAGTTTTTTTCAAAATTTTCCCAGTCTGACAAATTGCCAGAGTGGGCAAACTTTGGGGAGTTGTCAGACTGGGGAAATTATCAGTGACAATTTTCTAAAATTTCCCCGAGTAATGCAATTTTTCAAAAAATCCCCCCCCCCCCCGGCAGGGGCCCGCGAGAAAGATTCTGCACCTCTGACTCTGGTAAAACTGATTGAATACACATTTATCTTCGACTCAGTACAGTAACTAAGTCTATTCAATATAATATGATAAAAAAGTTCAGATCGAAAATAAAAAAAAATATGTGAAATCACCTTGAATAAGACGTTTTCTTTGGAGTCTTTTTCCATAATAAAATAATTGAAAAATATCTTTATCAAATATTAATATTAATTCCTCTAATTGATATTGAATGAGTAATGATAAATTTTTAAGAAGTTCTTCTGTCAAATAACATTGTCTAAGAATAAGCTTTTTTAAATTAACAAAATTAAGAATTTTAGAATGAAAAATCCAGTGAAATATAATATCATTACAATTTGAATAACTTCCATCAATATCCATCCATTCTATAGAGGAAAAAGGTGATAATAAATCACAAATTTTCGATGTCATTATTGAATGACATCTATTAAAAGATAAACATCGTTCATCAATAATTATTCCATTATTATTCATTGAAGTCTTAAAATAAATAAGATCATTTAATCGTTTATTTAATGACCAAAATGATTCTATGATTTGAAACCATGGTATATAAGATAATATAATAATAAGAATTTCATTTGGCAGATTTTCTAATTTATTTACCATATTATTTCTAAAACCATACATTTACATACCAATTCAACTTTCTTAATAATCTCAATAAAATGTTTCTATATTCAATTTAATTGAGAGATCTTTTTTCACTAAATCAAACCAAAAATTAACCGTCTATCTCCTATCGAGCTTTTGAAAAAGTCATTAACAAAATAACCATATAAATAGAGCATTAGTATCTGCAACATATTAATAGGATGACCAGATCGAAAAAATGAAATTTTCAATCCGAATTTGATAGTTATACCAAAAATGGAGATACTTTGTTCAAGTATTTCCATCCAGTGACTAGTATATTCTATACATTTCTTAGAAACTCGTCAAAGTAATCTTGCAAGATTAATGTCATTATTGACTGTTTATTTAAGACTAGCAAATATTCATTTCTAGACTCAATGCGTTCTTTCTTTGTGCAGGATAGTTTGGTCACTCTAGTGACTCGGAGTATAAATACAGAAGGTCGAATAACTAGAAAACTTCAACTTTTTTTTCTTTTTTATAACGCTGACGAATAAAAACTTGTAAAGGATATGTCATAATAACTGACGACAAATTATTAATGATATTTTTCATACTTTTTCTTGACGTAGAAAACTGAAATTTTTATCACATATACATCTAATCAAGATCTATTATTTCTGAAAGTTTCAGTCGTCTAGCTATAACTAGTGGTGAAATACAGTGAGCAGACTGAAATACATAAATTTTTCTAGTAGAGTTTTGTATTATTTTCGCTGCTAAAATAAAATGTAAAAAACGAGTACGAAAATGCATCTTGTTCAATCTTGTCGATGTATTTCATCATTAGTTATACATGGAAAGCTGAAACTTTCAGAAATAATAGATCTTGATTATATATATATGTGTTAAAAATTTCAGCTCTCTACGTCAAGAAAAATTATAAAAAAAATATCATTAATAATTTATCGTTAGTTATTATAAAACACCCTTTATGCATTTTTCCTTTACATTTCCAAAAAAAAAAAAACATTTGTTTTTGATGAAATAATAAAAGAACTATTGAAAATATTAAATTCATGATAAATATTATTTCAAATTCGCAAATGACAAGGTGTACAAAACATATGTTCTCGATATTGGTCCTTTGCCTCTGTTTTCTTAATGATAACTCAAGGATTCGTCTTGTGCATCATTGTCTCTTATTCGTCAAACTATTTCGAAATCTTTACTGTCTATAGGTTAAGAAACATTTCTTCAAAAATGTTTCAATTTTTTCAAAACTATCAACTTCCTAAGGTTCATTTTTTGAAGAGAAATCCATGAAAAATTTTCCAGATTATTGTTAACTAATAGAAAATATTTATTTTTACCATTTGTTTAATTGAATCACGTATTTTAAGAAGGTATTTTATAAAGTAAATATGGTGAATATCCTATTAAATATTCATATTTAAATCATATGTTCTGTATTGATATAATCTATCTTTCTTCATTTTTTTTTCGTCGAAGTAAATACCAATGAGAGATATTGTATAATTATTACTCGGCAAATATATTACGTAACTCATTGCATTAGAACCCTGTAATATAACATGAACGAGAGATCAATAGATTTTGTTGACAAAAATATCAATATTGATAATAAAGTTCATGACTATATTAAACGTTAAAAATCCTTGAAACTGATTTTTCTCATGTACACTACTCAGGTGTTCAAAAACCGGTAGTCTGCTCCGATCTTAATCATATCAAAATCTTATGAAAATCTGGTCATATTCTAAACACAGATTCTATTGAATCCGACAAGAAGATAAGTTTGAATCCGAAATTGTTACTTAATACAGACCAAATAAATACTACTTAAATAAGTAGTAAGTACATCAGAACCATTAGATGTTACTTGTGTATCGAAAATCATTGAAAAACATTCGAACAAAATATAAACTTTATATGGATGTTTAGATGTCTATATATCTATAGTCACTTACATATCTGTTTTATCAAAAATGAAAATTTTTCCCATTATGAAGAACAGATACTATTCACAAACCTATCCTTAATATTCAAATGCGTCAAACTTAATAAAAGAAAACATAATCAGAAACCTTTCAACATTTATTTATGAAGCTTTTTAGCATTTTATAGTACATTTTCTTATTCCACATACTGCTTATCTCTTTAGTGAATATGATATGTGTAGTCGGCTACTAAAAAAAGTTCTACAATTTTGAGCAATTCTGTTTTCTCATTGGAAGGCTAGAATTTCAACTCGAATAGAAATATCATCGGATATTGGGAACAGACCTAAAGTCATCTCATTTCGTAGTGCTTTGCAGGATATAGACATGTACCTTAACATCCAACACAGAGAAAAAAAAAAGAAAAGATCGCGCTGTAAGGATATACTGTACCTGTTTACTATCCATAATAGCAATATCAAAAGCAAAAGTAGTGCCGCGCCCTACATAGCTTTTACCACTCCAGGATGGCATAGTATTGAGCAAGAAGGTATGATACTGAGCAATCTACTTTTATGCATATTAAAGATCGTATAGTTTTGAGAGATAACTGTGACTTCATGTATTCTCCTACATTGATTTGATGAACTTAGAAAAATGATTAATAAAATGAGTCAAATAAAAGAATTTTTCGAAGATTTTTCATAAATTATGCATAAAGTTGTTCACAGTGTTGAAAAATTCTATGGATAAATGCTTCTTTAAGAATTTCTAAAGAAATTTATTCAAATTAACGAGTAAGAATATACAGAAAAAAAAGAAACGCTAGTAAATATATTGCAGAAGATTTTCTTTCTTCTATATGTGACCATACAATATGGAATTTTTCTAAAATATCTAAGTTCTTAACTATAATCATTAATTATTCATAAAGAATAAGTTCTTTTCCTAGATATAAATCTGAAGATATTAAGCAATCTAGCAAACATTTCTAGTTTTACTGTAACAGTCAAGATCTCTTTAACTTTTTAATAATATCTATCGAATACACAATTGTCATCCTGATCTGCATTCTCAATATTGTTTTACTAAATATTTCTTTTGTAAAATGTTAAATGGAAATGTTTTTCATCCATCTTTTACAAAGTTTTCATTATAAATATTATGTCGGATGAAATATTAAAAATGAACTGACATCTTCTTTTAACATTTATTCGAACAAAAAAAAATTGTTATATGTATCTTTAAGAAATCATCAGAAATATTTTATTTCGAAAGGCTGTCATTACTGTGTGCATTGCTTTTCTATTCAACCGTTCTTCTTATCATTTCGATCCATTTGAATGAATATTCTAGTGAATATACTAAGTCTCAGCCACCCAAGAAAGTCTTTTGATACTAGTATGTCATTCGATACGTAAAGGCTCTGAAGTACTTGGTAATACTTTTTGGTTTGTTGACGTCTGACTTTAAAATGATTTCAAGTTTTTCTATCAACTAACTTTTGCGAAAATTTTTCATAGAACTCTATAGAGACTGAACAGTACATTAATAGAA